ATAAAAATGAATTGCATGGTGAAAGTATAATAAAAATGATGAAAGTATAATACAAATGAATTACAGGTGATTATAAATTAGAATTGCAATATATAGGACGATTATACCTGCGTGATGGCTTGAGTTATACCAAGAAACGACACTGTAACAAAGGCAACTCGCCTGTATATATTTTGTTGAAAAGGCCACTGTCCCAGTAATGAAAGCAGCACGCGATTGAGTCTATACAGTCGAGACTGAAAGATATCGCTCGGTGAATCCATCTTCAGCACTCGATTGAGACTACTGTATCGCCGATATTGTCTCAGTTGCTTTAGATTTTCAGTTTAATAAAAAATTCTCTCAGATGGAAAATAATGGATATAGCGGATGGAATAAATATAATCACGAGGAATTGACAACGTTTACCAGATTGACTATTCTACTAGATGAAAGACTTGAACGATCGGGCACTAATCGTAGGCATATCTATAATGCTCTTTTATGATTGATTTTATATAGTGATGATCTTATAGTCTGTACTTATTATGTTTTGTAATAATAACTTTAATATTCTCGGCATATTGTCAAGTGTTTAACGGCGCATTACTATTGTGACTACCATGTATTTAATTGAATCATGATTATTATCTTAGAAACCATAGCGGCATTTTATCAAAATAATAAAGTACACGCATGAGTATACTGATATTCTTCAATTCTTTTATCGTAAATGTAAGTAGCAGATTTTATCATTACTTAAACAACGGAATATTATACAACATCTTTTTACATCGACAATTTTACACTTTTCAGAAAAGAAATTCTGAAAGTTTTACACTTATCGTACAGATTGTAAGACTGTAAAATACGAAGCAGATGTACGTACAACCTGGAAAAATACAGTATTTTTGTTAACAAGAAGATCATTATATAAAAGAAATCATGGGACATAATCTCTTACCGCGCTGAAACTAGGAAGAGAAAGAACCATAATTTTTCCAACGGTCAACGTACAAGGTGAGATGCTCCTCAACATTATCATGTTTAAGAGTTTTCTAGATTTGGATGATGTTTCATACCATTCGCCTCGATAACTAATGTTAAGAATTTTATTAATATCGATTTATTTCTGTTATATTATTATATTTCTAACTTCTATTAAAAAAAAATTGAGTGGACAGAAAATCTACACACACATTCCGACTTACATTGATGTGTATACACGATCGCTATGATCGATTATTTGTTGCCCTAACCAACATATAGTAAATAAATGTATTAATTGAGCGATTATATATCCACCATGTCGGATTGCAATCTGCGGCGTGAGGGTATCATTGGTCGCCTAGATATTCCGAAATGGAGCGATTTTAATAACTAAATTTATAAAATTGCACGAATTTACATACATACACACGTAACACCATATATTTAGTACAAACCTGTAGAGCTGATAAACTCATCATCGATATGATTAAACCGACTTCCACGAAAAGCGCCTTTTTGTAAATAATCTCCAAGCAGTTTGCGAATCTTATCGAAAAAGAAAATAATTACCATATTTGACAAATTTGTTTCCTTTGCTTTGCCCGCTCCCTTTATATTCTAGTGTTATAATATTTAAATTAAAAATTACTATTGTTTTACGCAATTATATAAACATATATGAGCACTAACTGTATGGCATCCTCATGTTTTCGGATGCAATACACAAAATTCTTATAAATCCTATCATCTTCCTCAAGAAAAGCGAGCTTTTTGTCTTGTTCAACAGACTTTCGTATATGTTCCATCCGATATCTAAAGAACGAAACGAGGAATATAAATAGTTTATTTTGCTCAATTTGTTTAAATCATTATATTGTACCTAATGATTGAAAACAATGCGCAACAATGTTGAACCAAGATAATCACGCAGGTATCGGATGCGACTATGATAGTGAGACGAATTGCAGTGGCTAAATAATTATGAATCAGCACGGGATAGTAATATTTGTCGAGGTCTATAAAATATTCGACATGATATGGAAATCCCACTGGTCGCGTCGAATAGTTGGAAGTTACATTTCTGCCAATTATCTTCGGAATTATCGCCATTATCGGAAAGAGGCTGCCAAACGCATACATACCACCTAAATTTCATATAATATTATTTAGAAGAATTATATTTAAGATAATTTTGAGCGCTCGCGAAATTAAACTTGGATACTTAATCTATGATGCTTTCGATAAAGATAGATAAATAATTAAAATAATTTTTAGTAAACATTTAAATTGTGCTATAAACCATGTATGTATCATGGAATTATATATTATTAATTGTAATTAATATAATTATTATCTAAACTTTTTTTATTACTATTATCTTCTACCGCCTGATTTTAACTACCGCCTGATTTTTTCTACCGCCTAACAAAATTAATAGTGTTTGTATCTTACTGGCATAACCAATTGTGATGTTTCTTCCACTCTCGGCGAATTTGTACAAAATGTCGAATTCGCTGTCGATGATCCACGATTGCCAATCTCTTTGTATGTGCATAAGAAGTATCTTGATCTACGGCTTGAAATATCGTTTCTTTAGTAATGCAATTCTGCATATACATATATGTAACACTCCTAGCACTCCTAGCACTCCTAATACTATATATAATATATCTAACATTCGAGAACAATATATCGCGGGATCTTCTACGTACCTTCTTCGTATAGAAAATCAAATTTGTTAGCTTAACGATGCAAAGGCAGTTTACTAACAGTGGTGCTATACATTCAAGTGTTGCATCTAGATCGCCATGTAACGTCACTAAAGCGAGTGCCTTGAATTTAATAATTTATAGTAAGATAAAAATATCGTTAATAAATCTCAATATTTTTAACTTCTAATATATTTTATATGCACTGGTATTTATATACATATTTTTTGTTCTTAAAAATATAAATATATGTATTGTTTTAACTAATATAATTTTATATTACTTGTAAAAATATATATGAGTTTACAAAGAAAGAAGAAGAGAAAGAAAGAGAGAGAAAATATATTAAATATAAATATAATAAACGATATATATACAGTTAATTAAATGTCAAAATTTCGGGAGCGTGTGAAAGAGGAATCGATAAATTAAGAAAAGAAGTCCTTTAGAAAATTGCTCGTTTTTGAAGAAAATCATAAAAAAAGAAATAAAAAAATGTTTACCAAGAAACTTAAAACAACATTAAAATTATTAAGTTTATTGAAATTTATTATTTAAGTTTATTATTTATTATTTAAGTTTATTGAAAAGTACAATGAGATAAAAGCTGTTTTTGTTTTTATTATATATTTATATATANNNNTATATATATATATATTAAATTGACAGAGATAATGTAAGAATCCCAATAGGCGACTGTACCTGAGGGATGAACTGCGTTATGGCAATAAATAACACAGCAACGAGGATAGTCCACCTGTCTCTGTTCTTTTGAAAAGGCCATTGCCCCAGCCATGAAAGCAATATACGATTGTATTTGTATTGTCGAGACTGAAAAATATCGTTTGGTGTATCCATTTTCATTACTCGATTACGACTGCTGTACTGCCGATATCGCCTCGCAATTTTTAATCTAATCAAAAATTCTCTCAAAGAGAATAAAGTAGACATAGTCTGTGAAATATATAGTCACGAGAAATTGCAGACATTTACAGGACTGATTACCCTTACTAGAATGATGAAAGGCTTAGGCGCGATCGAATATTCATTGTACGAATGTATTTCTGATGTTTTTTTTGCGATTGATTTTAGACAGTGATTTATCTTATAGTTTGCATCTATTTTTTGTAATAAGAGTTCTTTTTCTCTTTCGTCGTTATCGAGAAACCGTCTAATTTAATAACATCTCGCGATATCACATAGCGAGATGTTATTAAATTAGACGGTTCATCATATCGCGATTGTCGTGTGTTTATTCGGATTACATTTTCGTTAAAGAATCGGTAACAGATCTATATTTTCGAGATAGTCCAGTAAAATAGTATCTGAAAATGGCAAAACGGATAGACAAATTTTCCCCACGAAAAATAGCATTTACTAAACACAGTCAACTTTGGCACCCTCTATCTCTGGTATTTTTTGAGTCACCGCAAAAGGGGATATACAAAAATTGTAGAGAAGTGAGTTCTCTACAAGTTTTATTTGAACATTTTTTTGATAGAACTAACAGGGGGCAATATAATTGTCAATAAAAATGTTCAACCCCAAATTGACGGCATTTTTTTGGTTGTAACTTTCTTTCCTTGACAGCTATTAAAAATATTTTTAAACAAAAGTTGTAGCAAATATTTTTTCCTACAAAATTAAAAAAAAGGAAAAAGATTCGACCAATAGGAGCCGAGATATCCAAACTTACCCCTATTTTGAAGATGGCCGCCGATGCACAGGGAAATTTTGTTGGAACTTTGTGAATTCGGGCATTTCCTATGACCTTCTACTCACCCTCAAAAAATTGGCTTGTCTATCCGTTTTGTAGATATTCGGTGTTTTTGATACTATTTTACTGGACTAAGAGCCTGAAACTGATATTTTTGAAGAGATATCTTTTCAAAATACATTTGATTTATAAATTAATATAACGTAGTATTTTTTAATTTATTATTGATTTATCATTAATGTATTATAAAATGAATATAAACAGCAAAAAAAATCAGAATGGCAGAAAAATTTATGTCAGAAAAATTATATTTTAAAAATACACATATAAAATTGAAATTTATATCCGCAGGATTTTGAATAGAGCGATTGTTATAATACTTCATATTTGACGAATATATGTATATCCTATAGTCTTATAGTTTGGAAGGGATCACAATTATATTGAACGTAAACTATCAGTATGGAATTCGTTACTATCAGTGGTCATCAAAAAGAAGGTAGTGTAATAGGAATGCAATAAGATGAGGTAACATTTAAAATTCGCATTTAAAATAGCCTTTACGTGATACAATACATGTACATAGTCTGTACATTTATGTTTAGTTCGCGTTCGTAAGGAATGCTTCACGGCAATGGACGACATGAAAGGTAAAGTCATATACGTAGATATAAAGTCGCGAAAAATTTTAAAAATACGCGTGACTTTCATTTCAGCATGCCGTTAGGTATTATAACTGCTTAAAAATTCAAATTTAACGGAAAATACAAAGAGATATCGATAAAAGCAAGAATGCCGATCATTTTCACCAGCGTGCATTTTAGGCAGCTTCTTGTCTTCACTAGTGTATGCTCTTGAAGTTTGTATATTTATGCAAATTTATGCATTAAACGTCATTATCTTCCATTTATTTCTCAGCCATTTGGCTTAGAAAATACTTAAACTGTCTAGATTTGTATAATATAATATACTTTTTGCATATGTATATCTTCAACATGAAAGATTTTGGTTTATGCGTAATTTACACACAGTAAAACCTTTTTCAACATTTTACAGTGTTTCTAATCTATTGTTTATTAAATAAATCTGAAAATACTATACAATACATGTGCACATGTGCTTACTTTCACAATTTATTTTAAGCAATTATGTCAATTATTAATAACTGACAATGAAATACTTATATACACACCTCATATAAAAGTAGTAATTGATAGCGGCATAAAATTTACAACTTTTTTAAGAATTATGTTTAATTAGTGTATTAGAAAGACTTCCATATATAACTATATCATAAAATTATTATTGTAATGACGTAAGCATCGCGATATAAGACATGGAGACTTGTAAAACCTGAAAATAACATCGCAAAAACGATTGTATTTTACAATAAATAATGATCTATATAATACTACGTTGGTACATACCGAGCTGAAATTCTCCATTGACATTACGTACATTTTACCAGCTTTTATTTGGCATGGTTTTGAAGCTCGCAATAACGTAAATCTTAATAGCTTTTTGGATCTCAGTGAAATATTGTACCAGTTGCAGCTGTAACTGTTAATGCATTCGACAAATTAATTTCTCAAATAATTGTCACCTGTTTACTAAATGGTGACATTGATTCGTAAATCATACAAATAAATGTATGTAAATAATTATGAAATACATATATTTTGTAATTGCAAATGCGTTTTAATTTCATACATTTTTTTTAATTAGTGCAATCCGTTTTTTAACATTTTAATGATTATTTTATATACGTACATTACTCCATGAAATCCGTTGCTATGATCGATCATTTGTTGACACATCAGGCTTAGGTAAAATATATGTAGCGATAATGCGATATTACAAGAGACGATTCTAATAACTTCATCCAATTGAATATCCACCATTATCAACTTAAACAATATACAGCTTTATTAATCATACTAAAGGGAAAGGCAAATAGTGTTAAACTTTATCTAAGATGCATCGAAAAATTACCTCAGCCGCGGAAAAGCTTCCAGCTAGCACTACATTTCCCAGCAGAAAAAAAAAATACGTTGCGTAGGTGGATGCGAGCAGCTCGGAAAATCTTCGTATAAAATAATGAAATAAATATTATAATAAATAATTGATTTATTTAAAGGAATCTAATATATTGTTAGTCTTGGTTAACATAAAATTATATGTAAAGAAAGATACATTATATGCATATATACAAAGGTACACATAAATTAAGCTCAAAACAACAAAGCAACTAATGTTACATAGAAGTTCTGTATTCTACGATTTCTTATATCAAACGGAACGTATCTCTACATTTAAAGATGTCACTAGAACTAACTTTAAGGCGTGTTTGTACGTTTTAATGCAACCAATTATGACGTGATAAGCTTCATCGTTCGCTATATTCGGCTCGACCACCACTAAACTCGAGCCTCGTATGCTCTCCATATTGTATCTATTAAACAAAAAAATTTAATTTTGTTTAGAATCTTTTTCACACATTGCAGTTTTATTCGCAGAATCGACTTACCGTATACCCTCGAATAATGCGCAGACATGCTGCGTGCAAAGTATGAACATACCATCAGCAGCTAGCCACACCAACACTATGCAGAAAACACCGACGAATCCATGAAGCATCAATAGGTTGAAGTACTTGTTCACATCGAGAACGTGTTCCAAGCGGAATAAATACCTGGCCGTGTAAGTTTCGTTCGTAGGTAAAAGCGAGTACAACCCACTGATGATAACGGGCATCGTGGTGTAAGAAAAACCCAATATACAAAGTACAACTGCAACGAGTCATTTTTCTTTCTCCAGATTTTGCTTCAGAAATAACGATATTTTACTAAAGAAAAGAAGAAATTTTTATGCATTGAAGACCAATAAAAAAGCGCAATTTCTAAGTGCGATTATTAATACTGAAAACTTTCAAACATTTTAACTTTTTTTTATGGTGGTTAGAAAAAAAAATTAGGACATTTTAATTAAATATAATGCAGTGAAAGTTGACATTGAGAAATATCATCGACTTCTGATCGCTTTAATATATTTAGTTAATATGACAAAAATTCTTGTAAAGATTACTTACATGTATATCTTATTATTAATGTTCTGCTTTGTTCTGCATAATTTTGTAATATTTTATTCTTCGGTCCTACTTGTGTCCTTTTCCAGGTCTCTTCGATATGCTCCAAAAGATCTTTCATCTGCAATTCGAAGAAATCGTATGACTAAAAATTATAATCCGATTAACTTTGCACAATAAAACGTAATATACAAACTTTATTTTTATTATATAAACAGTTGATTAACTTCATGATAATTATACTGTTTATTAACAATGGCGAAGCATTCTCCATGATAATGCTCAGATCCCTTATCCCAGCAATTAAACCCCAAAGCTATATGTATCGGGAACAAACAATCAGTCTCGATTCTAACGTATCGCTATCATATGTATCTAGTTCATCTCAAAACACCTCTAAGCACGACAAACTGCAAATGAAAAACAACGTAATGACGAGCATTACGTTGCCCTCCAGTCGAGATTGAAATGGCCATTGGCCGATGAGAGACAGTAACGTTTTATTGATATAATAGTAGCGATTGTCGTAGAAAGACATTTTGTATTATCAAGTCACCGAAGGGGAAGATATTGTGACAGACGGTCAAATATCTCGTCGAATATTCAGTCGCTTATTCGCGTAATTTATCGTGTATTTCTTGGGGATAGTTTCAAAAAGAAACTCAGCACGATGAAAGAGTCGCGGGAAGTTACGTAATAATGTACAATACCGCGAAGCAAAGCATTACATATGTATAAATAATGAGTCATTTTTCTCAATCAATCGTGCAACTCTTTGTGATCGGCAAAATACAACTGCGAATGAAACTATATATCCTTTGTTTTATAAAGTAAGCGAACTTTGTGAAACATAGACAAATACGTGGGACAAGGGATAGTAAGAGAAATAGTAAGCGAACCTTGCAATTGAAGGTCAAACTATATATTTCTTTTATTAAAATGATTAATATTAATTAGTATCATACAAAACTTTGATTCTATCAAACGTAGCATTTTTCTGTGTGTAATATTAATTAGCTTAATATATCCGTTGATATCGCTGTAGATATTATTTGCAGGAAAGAGAGAGAAAGAGTGAACAAATATATATATAATATAGAGGAAAGTAGGATAAAACCGGGTACCTTTTTGGATTTGTCTTCGTACAAAAAATTTGAGAGTAAAAAAAATTTTGCCGACAGTTAGTAGTCTTTAATGAACCTTAAACTATGAGAAAATTAGGCTAATTGCTGAAAAAAAAAATTTTGGATATCAAGAATAACAAGATTTTGTGGAGAAGTCAAAGTACCCGATTTTGTCCTACCGGTAGGGTCAAACCGGGTACCTATTTGAAAATATGCAAAACATCGTGTAATTACAAAATCTAGTAACAATAAAAATATCCTCTTGTTCGACTTTGGTGCAAGACTTCCTTATTTAACTTTTTAACTTTAGGGGTCTCAAAAAGCTTTTTTTTAGTGATTTATTTTTCTGAACGTTAGTTTTCGTTTTCAACTGCTTTTGGTAGAGACACACAGTCAAGATAACAGTTCTCTCTCTTTTCATTATGTGACATATGTAAGGACCCGGTTTTGCCCTACCACAAGGAAAGTAACAAATACGGTCGTTGTATATTTCGGCGTACAAAATGCCGATCAAAACTAATTTGATATACTCTCTAATATGTACAGAATGCAATGCCACACTTATCGAAACAGATGCTCTATACAGAAAAAGTGTTCGACGATTCGATTCTTGCCTCGATATCGATCTTTGGGGGGTTAAAAACTTTGAACTTTTATTAAAAAAGAAATATCATGTGCATTGAGGCTCGGTTTGTTTAAAAAAAATGATGGCGTCAATCTATAACTAATAACACAAGTTAGCCATAGATAGCAGCCATTATTACGAAAAAACAAGGTGACCCGGTTTGACCCGCGTACCCGGTTTTACCCAACTTTCCCTTATATATAACTTCTCATAGCTTGTAAAATATTATTGAATTTATAAAGTCAATAATAAGACTTTATAAATCCATATTTTTCTAAATTTTATTTAAATGTTAAACTTTATATAATCATATATAGAGAGAATAGGATTTAGCACTTTCAAGCGAAAATAGCATTAAATAGAGTGCACTGGATATTGTTAATATACATCGATAATAAGTTACAATTTTTTTATAGTAAATTTCTTTTAACACAATTTTAAAAAAATCTTTTTCTTAAATCAAAATATTACTTTTCTATATTTAATTTTTCATTATTATGTTGAACATTCTTTGTTTGAATCGATTATACATATTTATATAAATTTTTTTATATACTTATATATATTTCTTAGAACACTTCATTAAATTTTTTATTAATTGATTTTGACAAATATTATTTTAAATTGATTTGCATACAATTAAAAAACAATATATTTAACAAGTTTTATTACTATTGTATAATGTAATATTTTTAAATTTAGAATTAAAGAATAGATTAAGGCAAACTCTTGCGGTAATCTATATTTTTATTTAAATACTTTATATTTTACTGCAAGCATAAATGCATGCGGTAAAATTTACGTCATCTGTCTATGTCATATATTGTGAACGATTCATTCGTTACACCAACTGATGCTACAAACGTTTATGCCTGTAAATTGACGAAAAAAATGAAAATTGCTTAGTGCTGAAGATATGTGTGTGTGTGTGTGTGTGTATACGGATGTGTTAAAAAGAGGTTGAAATAAATTTATATAATTATATAAACTTTATATAATAATCTAATCTTTATTTGGTTCGATTATCTTTTTTCTATATGCTAATGTAAATAGTATGTGTGAATGTAAATATAGTATTAAAATATAAATAATAGCAAATGTAAATGTAAAATTCTAAATGCTAATGTGAATTTAATTGATTTTTAAACAAACTTCACAAATTTAAATAAATAACATATTACTAATGGAATATAAATATCTAATTTTTTAGATTCAAAAAGGACTTTTTTGGATATGGTGAATCTTTTCTATTTCTTCGTAGTTAAGATTGATACTAGTATAACATCGAGCATCAATGCGGTAAGTAGTGCTGTAATGTTAAATGTACAGTATATAGTTATATCGCATTTATTAAAATATAGTTTAGTAAATAAATATTAGTTTTATTGCATAACTTTATTTTTATTCAAAGATTTGAAAAAAGTAGATGCGCTTTTTTTAGTTTTATTTATCTTTTATTATTTGTTTTATTTGGTTGCGCCAATTATTAATAATTATGACAGCGATGAGATACACATGTAGGAAAAAGTTGGGTAAAACCGGGTAAAACCCTGTTTTTTCGTAATAAATGCTACTATCTATGGCTAAATTGTGTTATTAGTTGTAGATTGGCGCCATCATTATTTTAAAACAAACCGTGCCCCTGTGCACACGATATTTCTTTTTTAATAGAAGTTCAAAGTTTTTAGCCCACAAAAGATCGATATCGATGCAAGAATCGAGTCGTCGTGCACTTTTTCTATATAGAGCATCTGTTTCGGTAAGGGCAGCATTGCATTCTGTACATATTAGAGAGTATATCATATTAGTTTTTATCGGCACTTTGTACGCCGAAATATACAACCGCCGTATTTGTTACTTTTTTTGTGTTGGGGCAAAACCGGGTACTTACACATTTGATATAATGAAAAGAGAGAGAACTGTTATCCTGACTTTGTGTCTTTACAAAAAGCAGTTGAAAACGAAAACTAACGCCCAGAAAAAGAAACCACTAAAAATAAAAGCTTTTTGAGATCCTTAAAGTTAAAAAGTTAAATAAGGAACTCTTGCAGCAATGTCGAACAAGAGGATATATTTATTTGTGATTCTTGTCAATAGAATACATCTTTATATTGTATTTTGATTAAAATAAATCTAGATTTTATAATTACACGGTGTTTTGCATATTTTCAAATGGGTACCCGGTTTTATCCTACCCGTAAGACAAAACCGGGTACTTAGACTTCTCCACAAAATCTTGTTATTCTCGGTTTACTCTCAGATTTTTTGTAGGAAAACAAATCCAAAAAGGTACCCAGTTTTACCCTACTTTCCTCTATATATATTTGTCATTATTATATTAAGATCACATTTCGTATAAAAGTAGAAACTAATAACAATTTACGATTTAAAGTTTTTATTGGATAATATATATTAAATTAGTACATTACATCAGTGCTTAAGTTATCCATTATATTGAATAATTAAGCTTGTAATCAATCATATTTCTAGATTATTATACCGCTTTATATGATTATTATTGCATAGATGTGAGCATAGTGAAGTAAGACACGGATACTTGTAATATCTGAAAATAATAAGAAAAACAAAAACTTTGCATTCTATGACCAAAATAGTGATACATTTGTAATCATACATACCGAGCTAAAATTTTCCATTGACATTACGTATATTTTACCAGCTTTTATTTGACATGGTTTAATAACTCGCATTAATGTGAATCTCAACAGTTGTCTGGATCTTAATGAAATTTTGTACCACTCACAGCTATAACTGTTAATCCATTTGATACATTAATTGATCGTTTATTCCTAATTTGCTCAAGTGGTGACATTGATTTATAAATCGTTCAAATGTATGTATATACTATATGTATTACACATACAGACATACAAAGTAGAATCATAAAATATTATACATCATTGCAAAATATTCTATTTCCATACATTTCTATTTTCCAATTTTCTTTAGTAATTAAAAAAAGTGAGCACAAAATTTCTTTCAATATTCTTAATATTATTGATCAACTTATGTACACACATACATTGCTTCTTGGAGTCCGCTGCTGTGATCGATCAGTCGTTGAGACATTAAACTCAAGTAGAATATATGTAACAATTGCGCCATATTAGCAGCAAGGATTCTGATTATTTCATCCAACTGAATGTCTATCATTATCAACTTAAACGTTATCTTTTTTATATATCCCAAATAAAATGGCTGGTATTGTTTAAAATTTTCAAATTGAATATTTACCTCAGCCGCATTGAAGCTTAAAGCTATGACTACATTTCCCAGTAAAAAGAAAAAACATGTTTCGAAAGTGGATGAGAGCAGATCTGAAAATCTGTAAAAGAATAAAACAAATGTATTGGTCTATTGAAAAATGTTTTATATAATTAGTTTATGTAATTTAATTTAACATAGAATGGAGGAGAGCGATATAAAAATATTTAAATTGTCGCGAGAAGCTATAAAATACTATATAAAAATAATATACTTTATATAAGTTCTTCTTCTATCAAATTACGCAAGATACATCTATACCTAAAGACGCTACTGGCACTAACTTTAAGGCACGTTTGTACGATTTAATGCAATTAATTATGACATGATACGCTTCATCGTCCATTATATTGGGCTTAAGCGTCACAAAATCGAAGCCTTGTATGTGCTGTATCTTGTACCTATTTTATAAAAATATTGTTCAAAAATTTTTTTGACACATTATAGTTTTTATGCAGCATCGGGCTTACTTTATACCCTCGAACAATGCACAGGCATGTTGAATGCAAAGAACAAACATACCGTCGATAGCTATCACTACCGACACTATATAGAATACACTAATAATCCCATGAAGCATCAAGAGTTTGAAGTACTTGTCTACGTCGAGAAGATGTTCCAAGCGATATAGAAACCTGGCCGTGTAAGTTTCGTTTGTTGGTAAGAGCGAATATATTTCACTGACGACGATCGGCATTGTGGAGTAAGAGATCCACATAGAATAAAGACCAACTGCAACGAATCATTTCTTTTTTTCTCCTGTTCCATGTCATATTAATTTAATAAAGACAAGAGGGACTTCTTTGTATCTAAGACTACTGAGAGTTTAAGCACAATATAGTTTAAATAAAAATAGAAGGCACACATTTCGGGTAAATACGAAATAATCCAAAAGAAAAAAAATAGAAATATTTATGATATTTGAGTTGAAAAATCAATCAATGGTGATATTAAGAAATAAATATTGAATTTCTATATATTATTCAGTACCCAGCTGATTTGACAACAAATTTTTAATTTTCGTATAACTCAAGTTACTTACGGGCATATTGTATCGTTAATGTTTTGCTTTGCTTCGCGTAACTCCGCAATATTTCCTTTTCTGGTCCGATTTGTGTCATCTTCCAGGTCTCTTCGATACACTCTAGAAGATCCTTCATCTGCAGCTCGAAGAAATCGTTCGGTTTATAATCACAGAACGATTCGATTAACTTTGCGCGACAAAATGTAACGAACTTTATACTTATTATAGAGAGAGTTGATTAGCTTCACGAAGATGAAGCTGTTGATCAATAACGGCGATGTATTCTCCATGATGATGTTCATATTCGTTATTCCAGCTATTAGGCCCAAGAACTACAGCATATCGGAAACAGACAATCAATCTTTGTTTTAACTTCTATCACTATTGTTTATATCATGATACATTTCAAACACCTCTAAAGCCGTCAAACTGCAAAGGAACAATAATGTAATAGCGAGCATCACGTTACTCTCCAGTCGCGATTGAAATGGCCATTGGCCGATAATGGACAGAAATCTTTTGTTAAGATAATAATAGTGATTGTCGTAGAAAGACATTTTGTATAATCAAGTCACTGAAATGGAAAATATTGTGACAGACGGTCAAATATCTCGTTGAATATTCAGTCGCTTATTTGTGTGATTTATTATGTATTTCTTTGGGGATAGTTTCAAAAAGAAACTTATCACGATGAAAGAGCCGCGAGGAGTTACGTAATAATGTACGATACCGCGAAGCAAAGCATTACACATGTATAAATAATGAGTCATTTTTCTCAATCAATCGTGCAACTCTTTGTGATCGGCGAGATACAACTGCGAATGAAGCTATATATCCTTTGTTTTATAAAGTAAGCGAACTTTGTGAAACTTAGATGAATACGTAGGACAAGGGATAGTAAGAGAAATAGTACGCGAACCTTGCAATTGAAGGTCAAACTATATACTTCTTATATTAAAATGATTAATATTAATCAGCATCATACGAAACTTTGATTCTATCAAACATAGCACTTGGCTGTGTGTAATATTAATTAGCTAAGTATATCGATTGGTATCGCTGTAGATATTATTTGCAGGAAAGAGAGAGAAAGAAATTTATGGTGCTGCGAGACGGTACATTATATATTTACGAGTAATGAGCCGCGTTTTTCTTTTTATGTAACGCTCTTTGTGATCGGTTTGTGAGATATATCTGTGGCGTTGATGTTATATATCCGTCATTTTACTAATCAAATAATGTTTGTAAAACTGTGGAACAAGGAAGAGTTTAAAGAATATATGTTTAGGGGAAAACGCGTTTTAACTATCACGTTTAAATTTACTGAACTCAACTTCGTAAAACGATTAAAATTAATCCACATCGGATTAAGCATTTCTATCAAAAGTTTAACGTTTAACGTTTTCGTGTAATATTAAGTAAGTGATAAGTATATCCAAGAGTACTGGGTAATTATATATAGACAGAATATTTATAGGAAGAGAAATGTTTGTAACTTCTTCTCTCTATAATATAATATTAATTTTCCACACTTTACAATATTAATCTTCTATATTCGAAACATTTTGCTTTATATCGTTTATTTATCATATTAATAATAAAATAAACTGTTATTTTATCAATTTCTCTCAATGTTAATGTACAGATTGTTTTATATTTAAATCAAATTACACTATTTCTGAGCCATTATGCGGAACTTTTTCTTAGATATCTATATATAAATAAACAAAATATTTAATAATCTACAATATTGCAGGACAAAGTAATATATATTTATAAGTAATCTGCTGTATTTTTTCTCAAAGCATAACACTTTTTGTAATCGGTAAAATATAACTGCTATTGAGACATTATTTATCCGTTGCTTTAATAATCAAAAAGTTAGTATAACTGCGAAGCAAAGAGTATATATATATATGGTTTGGGAATACAAGATTTATTAACGTATTAAATTCATCTTCGTAAAGTAATTAAAATTAATCGATATTGTAAGAAACGATTTTTTTTTAAATTTTTTGGTCACATTGATAGATAAATATATGCGTAATAAGATATGTATAAAAAGATGCATAAACTTGTTTTAACTTGTGCGATATATACCAGTTAAGTTATAAAGATAATATTAACTTTATTTATTCAAAATTTAGTGATTTATATGTTGTTCATATCAATAATGAATTAATCTTTTCAACGTAGCTATATATATAAATAGTTTTATTTAACTAAAATTATATATATATATAGAGTTTGTAATTATTAATAGAAAATTAAAATTAACTATCACAGCTTAATTTTAGATAATTTTATACAGATCTAGTTACCATTTTTTGATCAGTTTATAGAATATTGTTTTTAAAAGTCTTTGACATTTATCTTTTAAAAAATATTAAATTAAGTATATATTTGCGTGTAAGAAAAATATTTTTGATAAGATATCGTAATGCAATTATATTTTAAAGTATGAATTAAAATCACACGAATCACTCGAATAATTTTAATTAAAAAAACATTTTGTTTCTCCTTTTTTTTACTGAGTATATTACTGCATACGGTAAAATATTACTCGCCTGTCTTACCGCTTGTGATAAAATGTACCTTATGCGCTTGTCTATATCAACTGGTGATATTAATGTTTATCAATGTAGTCTGAAGAAAGAATAATGATTGTAGGTGTACTAGATGCATTACTAGTTGTAACTAAAAATTTATTTAATTATATAAATTATATACAGTGATTTTTGACATTTTTTTTTATTTTGATATTTACAATTAGATTTGCAATAAATTTTATTATTAATTAAAAAATATATTGAAAAGAATATATATTTATTAAATTAAAATTTACAACACATGTTTTTCTTTACATATAAAAATGAAGAACATTATATGAAATGGAAGGCAATACAAGATTAAAATTTGGCAATGCATATAAGACGAATGTTTATTTATCGGAATATTTATTCACAATTATTTTCTATGTTTGACGCATAAAGTAAGTCGCAGGATTCCAGATGGTAGACAATTATATATCATCCGAATTTAACGATACCATTAATGTAACATAGGAGACGGATGTTTTCATGATCTTAAAAATGTAAGATAATGTTATTATAAAAATATGAACATTATTCTATATATGCAAAATTATAAAATATAATAAAATTAAATAAAAATATAATTATATAAAATTATAAGGGGTGCCTCCTTCCCCTACCCGCCCCCCTCTAAATTCACGTAAGTGTTTAAATTTTATATAGAGAAAAATTATTTATAAATTATTGAATAGTATATATTTTTGTATTATTCATACGTGCATTGAATTTTGGCACACACATACCCTACAGTAACCTTCTAAACTGATTACATATAATTTGGCCACAGTTAAACGATACGGCTTTTGACATTTCATTAATAGAAATAAAAACATCTTCTTTGACCTCAGGGATGTTTGATACCACATTTTATTATATCTGAAAGTATATTATAGTTAAGAAGTTAATGAGGGGCTATATTAGTTGTACAAAATTAAACGCCATCAATTAATTAAATTGGCAATTTACGCTGCGACAGGAACCTGAGCACTGTGATCTATTATTTCTTGCCCTATCCAGCTGTTGAAAAAAATTCGAGAACTTTGAAGGAGCAAAAGTGGACCGTTTCTCATCATCTCCATAGCATTCATATGAGTTACTATCTGCACAATAATGCACGAATTATACGATCTACGATTTTAAATCGAGTTTAAAATAACGGATCAAGGTATACTTTATGTTGCAATATTTTAATGCAAAAATAATTTATTAAGCAAATATTAACAATTTATTAGATATTTATTACCATCACACACGCGGAACATTGAAGTAAAACTCCTAAACCCATATCGATAATGAGACACGTCGCAAACGTTGATTCAATTAACTGGATCAGTCTATTAATAACAGATAAAAAAGTAGAGAGATATATATTTTTATTATCTATAATATTTTTCAATAAGCTTCAATACTCCCCGTGAATTTATATAAACCTTTCTATTCTGATTTGTAGCTGTACGCATTGTATCATATTCTCAACATCCTTGTCCCACTTATTGTTAGATATGTAATTACGATCGACGCATTTCGATTTGTTGTATATAATACTGTTTTCCAAATGATGACTGCAAGTATATATACATATATGCGTGTAAAACGTATTTTCTCTCATATAAATAAAATTAATTTTGCAGAATTTTATATTCACCTTAATATGGCCAGCATACCGCAGCTATGTTGCAGCAGTGCGAAGTAGATGGTATCGATGGCGATCACCGCTGTGCAGGCTGCTAGGTATCCTATGCACGTGATCGCGAAGAGAATGTAGTAATACTTTTCCAGATCCAGAAAGAATTCGCTTGAATGCGGCAACTTTTTCGGTCTCGTCACGTTCGATGCCAATATAATGTCGAGTATCGGTACTGTTAGCGGTGCTGTGATATAACTAGTCGCACCCGTGCCGATAAAAACTGGAAAGAAAATTGTCTCTTCTGGCACGATTGCTCGAGAAAATAATCAGGTTGTTATGATATACTTAAATAGGCCATTGTGAACATCCGACTTCTCTCGACGTATTCCGTTAGAATTTGAATATTCTCATGATTCTCTAATAGGCGCCAGTCGTATCGTACATGCTGAATAAGCATCCTAAACTGGAGATACGATCATTCATCTTCGGGAAAATAATTCTCTATATTGATTTCAATGGAAGAGTTTATGCTCTTACTTTTTTAAATTTATAAAACAAACCGATCAATTTCATGAGACATATATTTGCGCCAGTGAGAGTCGGTAGCACATCGTAAATGTCGGCTAGACTTGTCGCATGTTTAAATAAATATGCGATCTGTTGAGAAAGAACCGTGTAATATATTAAGGGCAGTTGCATAATTTTGAATATAATTTCATAGAAAAATTTAAACGGTGGAAATTGAAATAAAAATTTCAAAAAATTTGTTTTGGAGAAATATCAGTTGATTCTTTTACAATTCTCTAGTCAGTGTGTGTTAATTTGTAAGATACCTGCGGCAACGATAAAATCAATATACCAAGTATTGTGCAATAGAGAATTATATTCTTGTTAGACGACGATCGAGTTGGCCACAAGCCGACATACGACAGCAATAGCTTGTTAATACGAAAATATCTGGTATCAAAGGCGTCCATTGGTAAACTGTGGTCGTTGAAAAGGAATTCTTTAATAACTCGTCGCCGAAGAAAAATTTCCGTCTATGACTCATTTCATATTCCCTTGGAAGGTCGATACTTTGTATTGGCAAAAAGCGTTATACGTTATATATTAAATCGATTTAAATGGAATCGCTAATAAGTTGGGTATCTCTTATAGTTGAAGAATACGCGAAAAGAGTGTTGCAGTTTTAATTTCATATTATCAATAATGTAGCATAAGACAAAAGTAACGACGTTTAGTTTTATGTGATACGCGGTTTGTACATGAACGTTTCAGATGAAACGGCGATCATATGTTGCGTGATGTCTGCTTATGTAGATTATATGCTGACACTGAAATTTGCAATTATTTATTCCTTAATATTGTAATTTAATATTTCCTGGCAATGGAGAAGAAGACTTTCACACTAACAAATTACCAAAATATATCACGATTTCTTTCATATACCAAAAATATTTTTATACTAACGCATTTATTTTTATGTGCAGGCGAACGCATCGAATCAAGTGTCGGATAACACTATCGAACGAGAATCAGCTTCCTATTCTGAGCGATCTCATGCTGTGTTTTTCAAGTGGTAACTATATGAAATATATTTATGTAAATATTTATAATATATAGTATATATAAGTCTAAAACACGCATAATTTATCTAAACAATATTTTTGACTTTTTGACACAATAAAAATTAAAAATAAAATACACTTACATGTATAATCAATTAATAAAAATTATTACCAATTAATATAATCAGTATGATAAGAGAAAATTCTCATAAAAAGGATTATAAATCGTGTTCTCTTTTTATTATAACTTATATACAGCATTTTATACATAATAACATTTAGCATAGATAATAATAATAAAACAAATTAAGTATATCATATGTATAATTATAAAAGTTTACACATCAAATAACTATATGCAAGTAAAAAAATAAACTAGAGCAAGAAGTAAACGGAAGCAACTTGCGGATTTAAATGCCACGATTAAATGCACAATATTAGGGCTGCGTTCGGAAACATTTTATACATAACTGTTATGTATGTTGAACAAAGATAGAACGACGCTCATATGCACACGGGTGATGTTTGCAAACGCAGCCTAGAAAAGGAGATTATGCGAATATCTCTTTTTCCGACTCATGTTCTCCTAATATCGAGATTTGCCGCAGAATTCGAATACCGCGGCTAAGTCTACAGACTGCGTTCATGTTGACATTATAAATGCTGAAAACCTTTGAGCAATCGAGGTAAAGACGATCCTATTTGTTGCTCAAACAAACGCTTTCAACATTTAAGGTGCGTTCGGAAATCCTATTCGTGGGATAGTGTAGCATTAAATTGACCAATAAGAGAACATGATCAACATGATTGTTTCACTGTCTCGTCTCATGCTACAGTCATGCTATGTCCCTATGTCTCTCTTGAGTCTCTATGAAAATTATAATGTCATTCAATTTTATGTGTGATGGATAATTACATTCGAGATTTTGCAGACAAAATACAACAATGGTTCTATTAATAGAAAATAGAAAAGGATGTTTACCTGATGTTTATTTTGTATATAAATATCAATAAAATGCGATTAAATATAATTAAATATACATAAAATGTATACAAATATACACAAATAAATATACACAAGATAAATACACACAATGCATATACACAATATATATTTATAAATATA